TAAATCTGATTATTGTAGGTGTCCCTTTAGACCTGAAATGTTATCTAAATTATTAATTAGACATTAATTAACTTATCCAGACCATAATCAACTCTCGATATCATCGCTAGCCTGCAATGTTTACTGGATTTGAATACATTTTGTGATGGATGATTCAACGTCAAAATGGATAATCGAGACTGTTTTTTGTCATACCGACTTTAGTAATGATGATCGTAGAGTAATTTGACTGAAATTTTCAGCATATTCTCTTCACGTTATCTATTTTTTTAACTATTATAGTGAGAACTTTCAGCTCTTTATCTAATCTTACATAATGCCTCTTTAATAGAATTACACAGTAAAAACACCAAGGTATTTATCAGCTATTTTAATCAGTCTGCAAGTAAACTTACAGACAATCTATTGAAAACAAGGGCCTATAATTGCTATCTAAATAAGACAATGTTTAAAGATCTAATAATTCTCATTGGTAGGTATTGCCTTGGGAATATTGTAATCTTTGCTGCCATATAAAACACAAACAGCTGCTTAGATGACATTACACCTTATTTAATTTTATTTAATGGCAGTTAAGTCAACAGACTTTTTAAAAGATGAGTTGTATGTATGTTAGCTGCAAGTGTGTGGGAAGAATTGTTAGATCACTTCAACTACCAAGCTGTATGTTCTCAAGTCAAATTATATTTAATTGTTGTTCAAATTGTTGTTAAGGAATCACATTAAAACTGTTCCCCATGAGAATTGATTATTAAATAACGTGTTTTTAATGTTTATTTTTTGAGATGTCAATTACCTTAAACCAGATTTATGTCAAACTGAGTATAAACTTGTTTTTCTACAACAAGAACCTGCTCCATAACGGCCCAATCTGTCACTGTTTTTCCAAAGATAGAATTTCATGTGAAAAACAACTGATTATTTGATTTTTGTTTTCATATATTAAGGATAATTTCTTCTAAAAATTTGGCACTGCTCCCAATCATAAACACTACTGTACAATAGTGACTGTTAAAGATGCATTATGTAATTCTAAATCTACCTGTTGCAGTTCTAAATTTGGCTTCAAATGTTACATAAATTATTATATTTATTCACATGACAAGCCTATAATCAACTCCTTGGACCATCGGATGGCTGAGATTTAAGTGGATTGAAACACAATCGCAATTTGACAATTTAATTTAGAAATGGATATTCGAGACTTAGTTTTGATTGTCCAGTACTGTTGCTAGCTACGATAATAAAACAATCTATGCTAAAACTTTAAACAACGATAACTTTAGCTCAGAAATAAGTAATAATAAAAACTAATATGAATAAAATTTCAATATTTTTGTTTTTCATGGTCTATTTTTGAACTATTGTTATAACAAGAACGGCCAGCCGTTTATCTGAATCTTACATCCGGTATCATTAAATTTGTGTAAGAATATATGTTTTATTCATAGTACATGTTATATATGCATAACTGGCCAGATTAAGACCCATAGAGCCCTTAGATTTTGGGGGGGTTGGATGGCTGAATGGTTAGCGTGCGCGCGCTGTATCATAAAGTCTGTCATTGAGTCGACTGGCGTGGTTACGAATCCCTGGTTGTACGTGACAAGGAGTAGGGTCGCCTGTCCAACCTCGTAGGTTTTCTCCGGGTTCTCCGGTTTCCTCCCACTGCTAAAGACCCTTATGCGCAAGCGAATTATTGAAATAAAATTAAACCATATGTTAGTCCCAAAATGACCTAGTTTGTGTCAAGTTTACGTTAAACCCCATTTCTCTCTCTCTCTCCTTAGATTTTGATGTCCGCAAAATATGAAATTCAAAACATAAACATAAAAAACCATAGAATAAATTTTTATTTTTCGAAATGAGGTTTTATACTCATCACTATTAATAGAGACATGTCAGATAACTGTACTGTAAGGAAAGACAAAAACAATGAAAAACTAATTAATTTTTAGATTAGATATTTTTTAATTTGACATCTGTAACAAAGCAGAATTTCTGTGATGTGCCTCATTCTATGATTCCTTAATAAGGACGTGTTGGTTAATGGTTAATCCAGCTCTGTATGTATGGTTCCTTGAACATTAATTGTCTTTGGTCATTGAGTGGAGTGTATTGTAAATGAAGGAATAATCGTTCTTATTTTAAGTACGGTAATCAGACTGCCATGGGGCTGTCAGACATCATGTTTATCAGGTATTATATTGTAGGTTTAATAATCATGTTTACGTGGAGGTTATCATTAGGTCACAAGATATGGGTGTAAAATGAGAAATAGATGGTATCATTTATATTGTTCATCATATTACCTTTATCAGACATCAATTTGTTGTGTATTGACGTTCAATTGGCTTAAAAGGTGAATCTAACTGGTTATTATCTACATGTGTATCGGTCCATATAAAGCTGTGTAAATACGTCTTGGAACAGCAGATAAATTTAGTCATGTGAAATCTTAAGGATATAATGGTATTGTCTGTTAATCAATTGACGAGAACCAGACCCATGTAGACAACCATCTTTTATTTAAATTTTGTTATACTGAATGATGTTAGTGCCGAATCTAAGAATGGTTTAATGCGTAGAGTAACGCTTTATTGTGATGCGATACCTTACATGTAGGTGTTTTTACGTCCATTAGGAATACTTCCTCATTCAGATAAAAACTACATTAATGATTGGATAATGGATAGATCAGTTTTGATTAGTTAAGATTAGCGTTGCAGGAATTATGCAAGATAATCAAGTTAAGGTGAAATTAGTGCTAACTTGGTTGTACATATGGTTACAGAAGTAAGGACAAGACTATATTATGATAGAATTGTTTAAATGTGGTAAGACATATAATATTGGACCAGATAGTTTGTATTTGTAATGAATTACTAGTACTTCATTTTTTTTTTTTTCAAATTGTCAGCACTGGTCTCGATGATAAATGCTTGAGACATGGAATTTTTTTTTTCAAAAAGAGTGTAAGCCAAAGCCATACTGTATAAAGAGTCTGGCCAACTTCAGCCATGTTTGTTATCCAGTTTGTAAGTTTAAAGATGCATTATGTAAGAATGAGATAAAGAACTGGCCATTTGTGCTATAATTGTTTGAAAATTGATAACGAAAAATGAAAATCTTGAAAATTTCAATCAAATTACTTTATTCTGTGTGAAAGTTATGAGTGTTTGAAGTTTGAAAAAATGTAGTTTAGATTGTTTATCATCATAGCAATGGTACTTAGCAGTCGAGAAGCTAGAAAAAAGACCTGCAGTAGACAGATTTAGATCTAAGATAAAAGATAATGAGTGTCAGTAAAAACAGACGATAGTTCAGTATAAGATATTGTGAGTCAGGTGGGAACTGTGTAAGAATTGGTAATTGCTTAATACTAAGATAAGACAAAAAGGTCATTTTGTTGCCCAAAACAGTATTTGAGACAACATTTGGCCAGATTATATATATGGTTCTAGAATAAGGCTTTTAAGAAAATACTGAATAAGAAAAAAGTAAGAATAAATAGATTCAGCTTGCATGAAGAATTTCTATGGTGTGTGCTTTATCTCTTGGATGGCTTTTCAATACCTCTGTGAAGTTGTGGAATATTTTCATATACTGTAATCAATCAATATCAAGAACGACCGAAAATTTGTATAAATGTCTTCAAATCCAGATTATTGGATAAGATACATTTCTTTGGGATTCTGAGGAGGAAATATCAATTATTCAAAATCCTCTTCATCTTTAGAGTGGTAGGAACGTCAAATGAATTCTTATGTGCTGCTACTTGATAAAATAGATTGATCATTTATTGACAGGAGTTTTAACCCATATAGGTTACTTTTATTATGGTATTGATTGTTTTAATTGGTGGAGTCCCCTCTTGTTTACCAATCAGAATGCTTGATACAATAAATAGCTGAATGTGATCAAGTGTGATCAATATGTACAGGGTAAACTGTTCATCCACCACTTATGGGAGATGTTAAATGCCAATTATAAACTTAATTTATTGTGACACTGACAAGATCATCTTAGTGCTACTGTAACTGAATAAGCTGTCTGACTGTGAGGGGTTTAATACTATTGTACAGTATTCACAGTCTTTTATGCTGGTATGGTGGTGTCCTTGGTAACTAACTGATAAAAAAATCCCAAAGAATTATGTACATGTAGGTAATTGTTTGTTTGTCAATGCTGAATTCAGAATAGCATTATACAAAATTCATATACATAATCCCATAGGAACACATTGAATAACGTGAACTTTATGGGACGTTAAAGATCCCCACGATTATGTTATGTGCAGTTAATTGCTTATTTGTGACTGATGAATCAAGAATTGCATACAAATGTTCTCATAAAAAACACTTTGAATACAAATAAAAAGTGTTGAACATTGAAAAGGGTGTGATATGTGAACACAATAATAGTAAGACATCGTATGACTGTTTTTATTATAGATGTTAGACAAAGAGTGATACTTGTTACTACGTCTTAAAATTCTATTCTTACAGAGGTGCTTATTGATACCTGTAGACTATGTTCAAACAAGTATAGCCTTTAGAATAAGTCAAAAGAATGTGATAATCGTCTACAGTCATTGGTTATTCTTGTACACTGTGTATTGAATTTTCTGTATAGAATTAGTCATAGATTAGCATAATATCCCGGAGTGAGACCAATAACTAAGTTTATATTTAATATCAATTTTATTATTGTAGTTCCAATATTCATTTATGTCTTGTGGCTTTGACTTTTTTTTTTTTTTTTTCATTTTTTATAACCTTTTAATTTTCAAACAGGACTCTTTGTTTCTGAAAAAAAATTAAAAAAATGTATTTTTTATTTTCAAGCATCATTACCCTTTTTCTTTTGTAGGACATTAAATTGTCATTTTTTAATTATTTTTTTTTTTAATCCTTTGTCTTCTGTTTGAATCTCAGTTTTAGAACTTTTTATGTTTCTTTGGTTCAAGTCCCAATTGTAGAACTTTTTATTATTTTCAGGACTTAAGTGCCTTTGCAATGCCACTACTGGAGTCGGATGTAGCTGATGGAACTGGTGGAATGGAACTTCCAGAAGATTTTCGTCAAAGGTCAGGGTCAGGTGGTATCAAATCTCTTTTTGCTGGTAAACGTCAGCGCAATAAATCTGGAGATGAACTTGGTAATAAGGATAAGGGCAATTCTCCAACGTCAGGAAGTAAAGTGAAAAATTTCTTTGAGAGTATTCGCCCCCGGTCGAAATCGGATGTGTCAGGCATGAAAAAACCTGGTAAAAAACATGCAAATTCTCAAGTGATGCAACACTCTATGGACGAAGATTCGTTGAGCTCTGGAGGAACCCGACCTGCTGACTCTCCGAGTCCAGGTGGAAGGGGACCTATGGATACACTCACTCCAATGGGACAGATTCTAGAGGATCAAATGTTGGATAAGGGTGACGGAAATCACCTAAGTGTTACTAATACTAGTGTTAATGATCGTTTGCGACATAAATCAGGTCCTGTAACTCCTGTTGAACAGTTTATGAGCAGATTCCGGGGACGTTCTAATTCAGATTCTCAGCCAAAGAAAAAACCCAACTTACCAGAGGTTTGTAAAGTATTTATTTTTAGCTCTCCATGTTATTAGATGTATGTTAACTGTACATGTGGACATCTTGATTAACCACACTTTTAATTATTAATGATTGTGAGCTAAATAACGATGCATGGTGGCTTTAAATTGGAAGGTATTTCAAAATAAGGAACCCAGAACTAACAACCCAGCTGGTCTTTAATCTAATAGTACAGATAAAAATACAATAATGGTTTACTCCTGTTCAGTATTTACAAAGACATGAAGAAATAAAATTTCATCGATCTATATGCTGCTTGCTATGCAATAAGTCTGCTGCCATTTCGATGTCAATGAAAATTTTATGATGATAGGTCTGTTTTAAATCCGATTGAATCCGAGTCGGGTCATTATCTAGCATTGGTATTTTGATTAGGTTTTCTTAATTAAATGTTAAATAATCAATTTGAGTGCATATTGAGCATGGTTTATGCCATGAGAAATTTGACATTTTAGCAACAAATGCCAATGGCGCATCATTACCTTAAACCGGCGATTGGGGTTTTAAAGGACACCACTTGGTCCTACAATCCAACATGTCTTCAATTTTGACCCACTACATGAATTATATAAATCATTTGTTACGTTACCAAATACAAGGCTTGGTAAAAAGACATGGGACATCTATTCAATGAAATGAAAGACCTATTGTAGTCAGAATTCATTATGAAAAATCTGAAGCAGCTGTCTGTATTTTAAATGGCATTAAGAGTACAATATTCCCAAGGCCATGCCAATGAGAATTATCAGCTCTTAAACACTGCCTTATTTAGATAGCAATTATAGGCCCTTGTTTTCAATAAATTGTCTGTTATCTTGCAGACTAATCGAGATAATTGATAAATACCTTGGTGTTTTACTGTGTAATTCTATTAAGGTTTCCTCTAGTAGCTATCATATAATGGAGGACTAGGGGGTGGACACTTGCCAACAACTAGTATCTCCCAGATTTGAATCATGATATGAGAAGAACATTCACTGGTCATCACTTGTTAGGAGCTGACCAGAAATTTCAGGAAGGAGACAAAAAGTCAAGGTCCATCCATGTACACATTCATGTGCACAAAAAAACCCTTAACAGATGGAAATTGATGAAGAGTAGGCGAAGATGCCTCAATTTGGGAAAAAGTCTCTTTGTATCTCACATTGCAGACGTAAATATAGAGATTAAAATTACTACTATTTGTTTTTCTCAAGGACGTTAACCCCATTCTATTCCATATAAAATGGAAATAACTCAAATGGACATTAATTCATTCTGCACTGCTGCAGTAGAGAAATTGAGAGTTGTGAAACAGACACAAGGACATAGGTCTGATTTCTAGAGTATGGCTACTTTGGTTTTTGGCTTTCCTACAAGTTGACATAGAAATTAGACTCTGGGGAAGATCACTAATCAGAAACACAAGGAGACAGACCACCATTAAATTTCACCATCTCGGTACCCACAAGTGTGTCTATTTATAGCAATTCTCTCTCACTCTGGTTTCTCCCCTTTTGCATGGGTATTTTTGTTCATTTTCGATCTAGAATGGATGAATTAACATTTTCTACCAGGTTTTGGTAAATATTCATGAAAGGATAACAGGGTTAACAGGATGGTTATGGTGATATTTTCGGTGAATAGTTACATGTTTTTAGTATGCTACTTCAAGTTTGTGTATCTCAAAGTTTTGGTGGATAATCTCATGCAAAACTTGGGCAAAGAGACAAAATTAACATTGAATGAAGTTAATGGGTAAATTAATGGCGATCTGCATCCTAAAACATTACTATAGTGAAGGTAGCAATACTCATGTCTACATCTTCAGGAAGTGGTACAGCTCTTTTTTGGACGAAAGACATACTGTACTCAAACCCTTCTAGCGACAATACAGGCATAAAATATGATGAAACCAACTACCCAGCAAACCAATAACATAGATGTTGTTCCATTAATTCTGGACACCTTGAGTAGGTTAACTGTATCAACTTTCTACCATATTCTCTTGAGACCATTGATATATCTGGGTGTAATGAGATGGAAATTTTTACTGGAAATACTTGTGACAGCAAGAATTGTAGTGGAAAAACTGAGTGAACTTGGTTTGAATGATCACTGACGTCATTGTCAATCTATTCCTGGTCTTGTCCTGTCATTATTCGTCAAATAAAAGTTTGTTATATATCAAGACCAGGGATCTCCGTCCAAAATTTTTCCAGGCGAACATTTTTTACAGCGAAGTTATAACAATTTGAAGAGCCTATTACTGTTTCTTGCATTTGAAAAATAAAACCCATAAGACGGTTTATTTTGCCATTTTACATGCTTTAATTGTAACTAATTTTAAAATATAAAATATGTACTATTTTAAAGTAAAGACTGTTATTAAATATTATTTTGGGTAATAAAACTAAGTATTGCAGGTTTGTACAAAAACCGTTAAGTTAACTGGACTGACTTATACAAAAAACATTTTGACTTTTACAGAAACCATCATGTTAACTGGGCTGACTTGTACAAAAACCATCATCCTGGCCAGCCTTGTACAAAAAAGACAATAGAATTATTATAATATTTGTCTCAAATTTTGGTTGGCACATGAGACAAATTTGTATCAAAGATTTGGCCAATTTTGGCACACACACTCAAAAGATTGCTGGACCCAGGAGTAGGACATAAGTTAGAATTGATCATTTTAAAACATATTGAGATCGAATTGTTTGTAAAAAAAAGTTGCTTTTAATTTTGTAAGGTAATTAACTCTTATGTTAAGATTCTACTTGAAGGCTTGAAGTTAACTACTATAATTATTGACCATTATGGAGATTTTGTAGTGTTAGCTGGTTATTTTTATTACAAATGGACTGAGAGTCTTGCTTACAAATCAATACATTGTAGACAAATCTTTTAAATAATGTTTTGGTGTAATATATATCAGAGCAGCATGCTTTGGAAAAAGATAATAAAATTTGTTTTTTGTTTTCAACATGGATGCTAATGTAATTCTGTGGGTGTATGTTTTTCTGCCTCTGGTCACAGTTTGTATAGAATTTATTAGTTGATTAATTAAACTCTATATAAAACTGGCTGCAGGGAATCAACCCAAACAATTATAAAACGATAACTTATGTATACTATAAACTTATACAGCATTACAGCTTGAAAATAGAATAAATTCCTGGAACTGTACATGTCAGATGGTTTTAGAATTTAGAAACATGAAAGAAATGATATACAAATTGAACATTAATTTAATGAAATTAAACAACAGATATGATTTATACTGGTAAAATCTGATTAATAGAAATAAAAGAATCATGATATATTGTATAACGCTAACAATGTAAGCAACATGTATCTGTCAATATCGTCCTGCAGTTTTATTCAATTATATATTGATAAAACAAAGAGAAAAAGGGTTTTGGAAACATGTGAAATACTGACCTGTCTAAATCTGTTTTAGCCATTATGCACATATTACTAGTTATTGCGTTAGGTCTGCTGCGTTTAGAATCTATTTTAGTATGTGTAATGTAATAGAAATGATGCATTAAAAGACATGTCTGAAATCTACAATCATTAAGTGACATGGTGCTCAGTTTTAAAGAAAGTAATCTTTCTACTGCCTTAGAAAAGAGATAATGCTGCATTTAGAATCTATATAGTATGTGCATTCAAAGACTTGTCTGAAATCTAGAGTCATTCAACTGCATTGGAAATAGTTAAGACAGAATCACAATACATTAAAGCCAAACTAAGAGTAATTAATCTGAGGTTTGTTTAACAGTTGTCGCATGGCTTCAAGCAATTTGATTTAATATTTAAGAGTACCAGTATGTTAAAACTAACTTAATGAAACCTTATTATGAAATCATTAAATCACAGATGATTGCCTACAGCGAACAGAGTAAATGTGTCAAAATTGATTTTATCTTTCAGTCTAGATAATATCATGACCATAGCAACAATTTTAAAAAATAATATTTATTTAACTTTATTATAGCTAGGTAGACAGAATTTATAGTAAACCTACTTGTAATTAAGGTAATATTCCCTTGATTAAACAAAATATTCCCTTGATAAGCAAATAAACTGTTAAAATAAAATTGCTGAAAAAATCTTGATGGTTTGGATAATATTAGGTTAGTCTTAGACTGTAGTGTTAGAGCTATGAATATAGCCCTTGAAATGTTTTTGTGAAAGGGATAAGAAAAATGCAAAATGAGTTAAATTACTATTGCCATCTGTATGTTTTATTCCCTGGCAAGCGATCATTGTTGTCTAAAAACAAAATATCTGTTTATAATTTGATTATATGACAAGAGATTCTCCCAACAAAATGAAATGACACATCAAATTTAATCAAACCAGCACTTTCATATTTTTATATAATATAAGTTTTTGTCCTTTCGACTTACATTTATGCATACATGAGGTTAATAATTCAGTGAGTTTGACTTGTCTACTTGTAGAATATGACAGCTTGGAGATATTTAAGTATGATAATATTGTTTTATATGTCAATCATTTTATAGTAGTGGTTGTGATCAGGACAAATAAACACATTGATTTTACTATAATCAGGCTGATCACTGTTACTAGGTGCAATACACCTCTAGTTATATAAATTACAAGTAATTAGCATTTTAATTTCTTCTGCTATCCAGATTATTGAAGCCCTACTAAATCATCATCACTTCTAGGAGAGCAGAAAGAGCGTGCTAATTTTACCCTTAACTGTTGTATGGATAGCCATGTCTACCAAAATATGTAATATTTAGAGCATTTCTATTGACAATTTTATAATTTTCACAAGGACGATTCTTTTGGTGATTTATAATCTTCACTAGAATGTCTAGAACTGTTCTATTGGAGACACTACAATGTATCTGGTTATTTGCAGCCATTGCAAACTGAAGTATTGGGTGATTGGAAAGTTATTAGAAACTAAAAAATCAAACTAGTATGTGTTAATTTCATCCATATTAAAGAT